AAAAATTGCCATTGCAGCAGCAGATACCACCTGAGATCAAAGAAGGAGAGAGCACTCAGGATGAAACTGCTTTTCTTCCACAGTCTGGGTGGTTTTTTTTTTTTTTTTTGTTATAAATCCCGAAATCCTAAGGGCTATTGGAGAATATTTTCTAGTGATTAAACTATTTTCTTTCCTGTAAAGCATGTATGGAGTTTTATTAGTGACAGCCTCTGTCCCATCAAGAAATAGGATATTGCCTGTCCTAAAACTCCCACCTCCCATGTTGCTGAAGAAGCAGCTGTGTCACTGAACCTGCAGCAACATTTCATTTGTAATAAAAACCCCAAAGCATTAAGAACCACAGGATTACAATGATTTGGGTATGACAAATGATCCCAGGTTACACAGAGCTTGATTTCCTGGAATGTAGAATAGCCAAAGTCAAATTGTTTTCAGGGAACTCTCCACATGTTCCCTTACAGCCCAACTGACCCTGTAACTCAGCCCTGGTCTGAGATTTAGATGATTCAGATTTATCTAAAGTAGAAAAACACACAGAATTTGAAAGGCTCATCATCCACATTCTGGTTATGTGCCCATCTCAATTTCCATCCACTTCTGTGACCTCTGGGGTTGTGGACCTCTGGTTGTTGTTTCTGATCTCATGATTTGGGGGATCCTGACTCATCCTTTTCAGTGCTGAGGACAGGTAATACCTCTCCCTCATGTGGGAAATTGCCTGAGCTGCCTCACAGCAGGTTAGCATGGCCTGCACACAGGGAGATGTGCTTAGGAATGTTGAGATCCCAAACCCTCCCCAAAATTCTTTGGGTACAGGTAAAATACAGTAGGTAAAGCCACCCCTCCCAGGTTAACCTAAAGGCAGCAGCAGTCCCTTTCCCAAGTGAGCTACCAGATTAATTTGGTTTTGTTCTTGAAGGAAGATACATGAAGAATTGTCTCCTCATTCCCAAAACATAAGCACACCCAGAAGAGCCAAGGATTCCCCAGTTACAGACGAGAGGAACTCAGAACATGTGCTCTTGCAGGATATTTATGAAGTGGATCAAACCTACAGGCTTTTGGCAGTTTCACTGGTCTGATGGGACAAGAAGAGGGATGTTGTTTATGTAATTCATCTTTTAAATTGAGCTCTGATCCCCAGGAGTACAAGGGGCTCCTGAGGAGTTGTGTTTGTGAAGATCTGAGCTGTGTCTGCTCCCTGCGCTGCTGCAGACTCGTCATTCATCACACCCAGCAGTGTCTGGGGCTGTTGGCCAGTTCTGTGTGTTAAACAGGCTCCCTTCGACCCAGTGACGTGCTGTGTGGGCATCATCCAGTGTGCTGATAGAGAAACCTTGGATGGCTTTGTCAGAGCCTGATGGGAGAGAGGAGCAGGGCTGGGATGAAACACACACTGGCTGAAAAACCTGATGGGAGACAAATATCATGGACTCACAGCCTGGTTTGGGTTGGAAGGAACCTTAAAGCTCATCTTGTTCCCCCCCCTGCCATGGGCAGGGACACCTTCCACCAGCCCAGGTTGCTCCAAGCCCCTTCCAACCTGGCCTTGGACACTTCCAGGGATGGGGCAGCCACAGCTTCTCTGGGCAACCTGTGCCAGGGCCTGCCCACCCTCACATTATTCTTCCTAATAATCTAACCCTGTCCTCTGCCAGTGTGAAGCCATTCCCCTTTGTCCTGTCACTCCAGGCCCTTGTCCACAGTCCCTCTCCAGCTCTCTTGGTGCCCCTTTAGGCACTGGAAGGGGCTCTCAGGTCTCCCTGGAGCCTTTTCCCCTCCAGGCTGAACATCCCCAGCTCTCCCAGCCTGGATCCAGAGATGCTCCAGCCCTTGGAGCATCTCTGCGACCTCCTCTGGACCCGCTCCAGCAGCTCCACGATGGAGGGGGAAAACCACCTTCCTTGACCTGCTGGGCACCCTTTTGTTGAAATATCCAGGGTTTTGCCTTTCATCTGGATGCTCCTCCATCAACCCTTTGATGTTTGATGCTCTAACCATGTGGCACAGAAGGCACATCCATGACACCCTGTTCACAGCACTGAGCAAAGTAACAGAATCCCTTCTGGGGGCTGATGAGGTGGCTTGGGAATTGTCCCCCCAGATCAACCTCTTCTGTTTGCTTATGCCCACATGAGGTTACAACTGTGGACTTCATCTGATCTGCATTTTTATCTCTTTTTTTTTTCTATGCAGAATTCCTTTTCAGCTTCCCTTGTTATTAATATGTTTTTAGGATGTATGGCTCCTTAACCTTTTTGTTTGTTTGTGGTTTTGGTTTGGTTTTTTGTTTGTTGGTTTGGTTTTTGTTTTGTTTTGTTTTGTTTTAAGCAGAAAGCACGTTCCCTTAAAAATCTTTTTGATAGGATCCAGCTCTTCCATCATCTGCTTCCCCTGACATCCCTGTTAAGAGAGCTACAACTGTGCCTTGCAACTATTTTGTGCATGGTAATCCCCCATCCTTTATCAGCCTCCTGACACTGTGAGTGGCTTCCTAAGGATCTTCTCCTCAGGCCAAGCAAGAGAAATCA